CACTTCCTTGATTGTGATTTAGCTCCAGGCAACCACTAGGTGGAAACTGTGTTCTTTTAACTTGAGTTTTCATTAGCTCTTGGGATGAATAAACATCAACATCAGGTCACACCAGAGTTGTTCAGCTTTTGCCATCGTTTGTTCCCCTTGATTTCTCTCTTCTAATAAGCCCAAGTTTAGATAACGAAGCTCTCATATGAAACAGTTGCCCTCCTTCAGGCAGGCTGGACTCCTGAAGCTATAAGTCTTCTTTAGTATAAAGAGAAAAGGACACAAGATGAATTGATTTAAAAAAAAAAAAGTAATTTTTTTTTATTGTGAAAGATAATGAATGTACAGAAAATTGAATAAAACAATGTAGTTTATCCCATTGTTAAACAAATACCTCTGTGCCCCCACACAGGTCGAGAAATAGAAACTTACTTAACCAGGACTTCAGAAGTCTGTCAGCCAGCCATGTGTACTTCTTAGGTATTTCATAGATCAAATTTCTCTCCCTCTAGCTGTGATCACTATCTTAGCTCTTATGTTATAAATGCCTTCCTTTAAAAATACTTTTAATACCTAATTATGCATAGCTGAATAGTATAGTTTAATTTTGCCTGTTCGAAACTATGTAAATGGAATACATGTGTATTCTGATATGTGACTCTTTTTCATTTAATATGATGACCGTAAGATTCAGCTGTGTTTTATAGGCTGGTTTCAAGCATTTCTGTTGCTGTATAGCAATTCATTTTAGGACTGTACTCCAATTATTTATCCTGTTGGTGGACATTTGGTTTGTTTCCAGTTTGAGGCTGTTATGAAATATATAAATATTTTATAATCTTGGGTACACTCTTGTTCATCTGTATTTTTCCCTCACATATTATGTATCCTAGTGTTCATAGGTACATATTTTTTTTTGGCAGGGCATATATCTAGGTGTGATATGGGTCATAGAGTGATTTTTAAAAGACTTTAAAATGGCAAATAGAAACATGCAAGAGTAGAAAGCTTCAAAAATTTAAAGGAATTTGTTGATCTCTTATTGCCTTTTCTCCCTCTGTTTCCTGAGAATATTTCTAATCAAATATCATATGTCATCTAATTTCCCTCTTAAATACTTTAAATATGTATCTGTGACAGATAAGGATTTTTAAAAACTGTAGCCTCCATATCATTATACCCAGCAAAATGAACAATTCTTTGATATATTAGGGTCCTCCAGAGAAACGGAACCAATGGGCAGTGTGTGTGTGGGTGATTTATTATAAGATGTTGGCTCACATGATTATGGAGGCTGAGAATTTGGAGGTGGAAAGGGTGGGGAAGACTTTTTTCTAATTCATTAGTAATCCTGTTAACTGTTCCTGAAAATCTCACAAGAGCAGAATAGTGACAGCTTCACTTGCGCACACCTGCCGCTTCAAGATCGGGTAGCCCCAGACAGCCTTGAACGAGATGTTGGGGACGACAAACCTTTCTGCCGAGATTTATTTTGCCACCTGAACAGCTGCCCACCTCACCCTCCCGACGGCTGCCTCACTAGCCCTGTATGAAGAAGACCGTTTGTTTTTGGGTGTGGACTATAAAGATGTGTTTCCAGGATCTAATATTCTGTCCTCTTATGAAGAGAACATTTGTTTAACTGATAAGCAGGGGAATGTGGTTGCACATTACAGTTACTAGGAAGCTTTGTGAATAAACATACCTGCTTTCTGCACCTGGCTTTACTGACCCAGGTGCCTTCCTGCTGTAGTGATCTAACCCATGTTTTAAAAATACCTCCACGAGTGGTTCCGAACAAACAGCATCAGTTGTAGATCAGCATTTGGGGTACAGGTACTTAGGTGGTATCTGGAGCTGTGAGAGGCATGAGATGGAAGTGTGAGGGGGAAAAAAAATTACTGTTGGACAGTGTTCAGCGTCCCAAGATTATGAAACATTTACACAGATTTTCTTTATCTACTAGCTGGGGTAACTCTTAGGGTGGGACGAGATAACAGGAGAGATCTCCAGACTCTCCGGTCTCTGGAATGTACATTCTGGAATGAAGGGGACTTCCTGGATTAAAACACACACACACACACACACACACACACACACACACACACACACACAGAGTTTCTGTTCAGATGCACTTAGACGTCACTCTAGGGCCACTCACGGAAAATAAACTATCCTAGAGGTTCTGGGATGTCCAGTGAGGTCATGGAGCCGAGGCTGAGGGGAGACTTCATTTCCTTGCTTTGTGTTTCAGCCACAGGTGGAACACAGTTTCTGATGAGTTCATTTTCCTGAGCACTTGAGACAGATGCCAAAGCCAGTCATGCTTTTGACTGATTGTGACTGCTGCCTTTCACTCTTATTAGGTCAGCTCCCTGTCCTAATAAGTCCACATGTAGAGGACTGCCATGTCTTTTTGAATGGGTGTCCCTACTTCAAGCTGCGTGATTCCAGAAACTGTGAAGCTTTTCTCATATAAAGCAAAAAGGACCTGAATTTGATGGAACTATTTTCTCAAAAAATTTTAAATAAACCCCCAGGGGAAAAATATCAGTAAAAGATAAGCATGAAGATCAATACATTTTTGTAAAAGAAACACCTATGTACCACCAGCAAGTCAACACATGGATCATTGTCAACACTCCAGAAGCCAACAACCACAACATACTTTTTTCCACTTTCATTCTTTCCCTGATCACTTTCCCTCCTTCCCTCTAACTCTAACCACTGTCTTGACCATTATGATAACCAATTCATCACTTTCCTTTATAGTTTTACTACATAGTTAGGTATCCCTAAGCCGTACAGTTTAATTTTTTAATTAAAAATTTTAAAATATAAATGGAGTCATGTCATACCTACTGTTATGTCTTATTTTCTCAAGATGGTGTGGGTCCCAGGTCTGGCTGTGATCCAGGCTCGCGGCTAGGGGTAGAACTCTGGATTTAAAATGTTACATAAGGCACCTGCGCCTAACTTTTGCAAGTATGACTCAGCTTATTGTTTATTACGCATGTGTGGCAGAATATCACTATTGTTCTCCAATGTATATAAAGCCCATGTGGTCCAGAAGTGTGTGTTCCCTGCAATAATGTTGGTGCCTGCCATTTCATTCTCATGTCGGCTCCTCATGCATTCTTTCAACTGGGCATCTCACTACCGAAGCCTTCCCTTCTCGATCAGCTTGGTGCTGACAGATGGTATGTAAGATTCATCTATGTAGATGTAGTTTTTTTTTTTTTTTTAAATTGTATTGCTGAATAGTAACTTATAAGAATACCTTGTAACTTGTTCATTCTGTTGTGGAGAAACTTTGGGGTTATTGACAGTTTGGTGCTACTGTGAAGAATTCTGAAATGATTACTTGTGAACACATACTATTGGGCGAGAAAACATAATTGAGGGTATGTGGGGTTGCTGGGTATAGAGAGTCTTTTTTTTTTAAGTCAATAGGAACTTCAAGTATACACAAAGTAAAGAAAATACTATAACGAATTATCATTTTCATTAATTATAAATATTTTGCCAATTTAATTTAATTTTCCTTCCCTTTTTTCCTACTCTGGAATGTTTTATCTCTAAACAGATAAGAACTTTAAAAACAATAGCCATAATACCACTCTCACACCCAAAGAAACTAATTTTTTAAACTGGATTGATTTTTCCTGGCCAGGCTTCCATATATACGCCAAGAAAAGCTATCTACCTAAGAGAGATGTAACAATGGGGCTTTTTAGCCCCAGAAATAGACATGTACAAGAAAATCAACTAAATTGTATGTTATCTTTTAATTTACCCTACAGGTAAAGGCACATCCATGTAAGGAACATGTAAGTACAGTTATTCATAGTGGCATTGTTGGTTACAGCAAAAGATTAGAAACAGTTTACAATGGATATTAGCCAAAAGGCCAGAGAAGCAATTAGAAACAATTTAAATGTTCATTAATATGTCACTGATTAAATACATTGTCACATCAATCCAATAGAACAGAACATAAGCATTCAAAATCCCAACTCTCAGCTTACATTTTCATTGTGTGAAGGAAACTATACCAAGTACAATAAGTGGTTATACTGTCGTTTCACGCCAATAAATTTAACATTTGGAATGAAGTGGCTGAATTCCTTGAAAGTTAGTTTGTCAAAAGTGACAGGAGAAAAATAGAAAACCTGAATAGTCTAATAGCTATTAAACAAATTTAACTTGCTATTAAAAAGCTTTCCCATGAATCACAGGGATGCGAAGTACAGCATAGGGAATATAGTCAATGATACTGTAATAACTATGTATCTATGTAATAACTATGTATTGTGCAAGGTGGATACTAGACTAATCGGGGGATCACTCTGTAAATTATATAAATGTCTAACCACTAGGTTGTACACTTGAAACTAATATAAAATAATATTGAATGTCAACTCTAAATGAAAAATTAAAATTAAAAAGCCTTCCCATAAAGAAAACCCAAGACCCAATTGGCTTTACTGGTGAATTTCACTAAATAATTATAAAAGACATAACACCAGAGAATAGAATCAGAGGAATCATTTACTAGCTGTTTCTAGGAGGCTGTTATAACTTTAATGTAATACCTGAAACAGACATTAGAGGAAAGTAAAAGAACAGACCTTTCTTTACATAAATGCGGAAATGTATAGTGAGATTGATTATAAATGTATAAAATAAATCATGACAAAGCGTCATGATTCATTCTAGGAATACAAGGGTGATTTAACATTCAAAATTTAATATGATTATGGTGATGTAAGTAAAATATAAATACCATACCATCATTTTACTATATGCATGAAATGCACATGATACAATTTAATAGCCATTCATGATTTAAACAGGAAAACCCTTAGTAAACAAGGAATAGGAAACTTCTATGGTCAGCTAAAAAATAACTGAGAAAATTCATACAGCAAGCACTTAATGGTGAAATGCCAAAGTTTCCCCTTTAATATACCGTCTCATTTCAGCTTTACAAATTCCCCATAACTCTGTCTCTTCTCTTCCTAGTGTCTTTTCCAATCTACAATCTCCTCAGGATAGGCTGAGGTACCAAAACCAAAAATGATCCAGTGGTACCCTATGACCATTTCATCTTCCCCAATCAAGGGGCACAAAAATATTTTTTATAATAGTGGCTCAGTATGACCCAGGTAAGTTGAAGTTGCACTGAGGAGGAGGGTAGGACTGTGCAAGCTTAAAAATGCCCCCCAGCCTCTCACATTGCCTGTGGCTCAGCCTCTGTAGAGGACGAGACAGGTTTGGTTGTTGTGTCACTGGATGGGGCTGAGTCCTCGGTCAGGGCCCTCTCCAGACTGGCAGGCAGAGAGTGGATCAGTCTCTTTCGGAAGTCTTGGCCAACAAAGACGTAGAGCATTGGGTTGAGGCAGCTGTTGAAGAAGGCCAGGGATCTCACTGGGTTAAGCAAGATATCAAGAATTGGGTACTTACGCTCAAACAGCTTTCTGATCCAAATTGTTCTCAGAAGGGCAATCAGTTGAAAGGGGAACCAACAAATGAAGAACGAAACCACGACAGCAGTGAGGACTCGTAAGGGACGGCTGGTATCTATCGTGCCTTGTTTGCGGATCTTGGCAGCTATGAGCCCATAGCAAATAGCGACAATGGACATTGGCGTAGTGAAGCCAATGACAAACCGGATGATCCCTCTGGCTGTCAATATGGTGACAGCAGCCTCAGTCCTCTCTGTCTGGTTGGCACCCCACGGTGCAAAGTTGAAAGTACAGTATGTATTCCCTCGTCCGTCATTTACTATACCCATGAAGATAAAAATTTGTGACGTAAGGACTAGTGCAAGGATCCAGGGTACAAGAATCACTTTTCTAGCCAGACTAACTGTGCGGTGATTCTGGGCCCAGACTGGATGCAGGACACAGATACTGCGGTCCAGAGCAATGAACGCAATGAGGAAGACACTTCCAAACAGGTTTATGTCCACTACGATGTTAATGAACTTGCACAGGAACCAGCCAAATGGCCAGTTATCATTCATGGCCATTGAGACCATGAGGAATGGCAGAGTGGAAGTGAATGAGAAGTCAGCTAAAGCCAGATTCAGGTAACACAAGGTGGTGACAGTGCGTGCCATCCGGAAACCAGCCACCCAGATGACAAGGCCATTGCCCAATATGCCAAGGACAAAGGTGACCCCAAGCACCACCAAGGAGGAGATCCGAAGAGCATTGAAGACAGGAGACTCACGGACATTCTCTTTCGATTCATTCACAAAGATGGAGAAATTGCTCTCCATCGTGTCCACACCTGAAACATTTCAAAAATGGCCCTTTCAGAGCTGTGAAACCACCTGACAACCTCCTATTCAGACCAACATCAACTTGCACTCTAGCTCCCCTCCAAACTCCATACCCATTACTGAACCCTGTGGCTGGTCATACTGTGATATTATATGATATGGCACTCCCTTATGTGTCCCCTTGAAAAAGGACCGTTCACTGTATTCCCATAATCGTTAATATGCATTCCACCCATCAGGCTGATTACTTAACCAGGAGGGTTATGCGTCTCCCTCCACCTGCAGAGTACTGAGCTGAGGGTGTGCAGACCACAGAAAGTTGAGGGGAGGCATCATCAGCACTGTGAGGGAGGCACTAGACTCAGAGTCAGTAGGGTGTCATCATCTTCTACCCATGACTCACCGCATAGGTGCTGGCAGGCTCTGCAACATCTTCTTGCCCCAGGGTCTCCCAGATTCCCATCTCCTGGCCCTCCCCTCTGTGAGAATCCTTGGCCTATTGTTGGGTTAGTGTTTAAAATTTTAGAATATGGTTTTACAGTTAAGAGGATGTTGAACAGTTACTGGTGACATGTGGTAATATGTTATATCTTGTGGATTCTGTGCTGGAGTTAGCAGCAAAGGGGCCCTATCTCTACATTCAACTCTTTATTTTCATTGTCTACGTTTGATGTGAAACTCTTCTGTGCTTGGGATGCAAAGGTTTTCGCCCATTTTGTAGCGTTAGTGTCTGTCAGATAAAGGATATGCAAATAATAAGTTTAGTTACTATTTTAGGAGTCTTTATTAGAGACCACCCATTACATTAAGTGAGCATCTAGTTGGATATTGAGTTTGACCTACATAGAACTACATAAGGCCTATAAGACCATTATTTCTAGTTTTCATGAGAATAAGTTGATATTCAGAGCAATTGTGAGACCTGCAGAAGGTCGCTTATGTAATGAGTGGTAGAGGATAAAGTTCAATCCAACTTTAGATGATATCCAAGTCTCCTCTACACACAACTGTAACAGACATTGTTGGTTGCCCACCTAACATCCATTTCCCCATTCTTCTCTGCTGACCACACCCAGTTCTGTTTAGTCCCTCTCCATCTCTGGGGGAAGATCCTCATCATGTTACTAGTTGCTAGAATCACCTTGCTTTACTAGGTATGGTTTTAGCAGTGGGACCTGACGAAATCCTAGACAATAACACTCGGGGAACATATCCTGAAGACTTCTGGGGTAGTTATCGATGCTCTTAAGAATGAGAATCCAGAGAAATGGAGTGTCTGTCTCTGGACCAGGTCACATCTGTAAGTGTTGCTTCCAGATTCTACCCAATGTCTGTGTGACCCCCTTGTCCATGTCAGCTGACCACATTTCCTCACACTGTGGCCTGCAAGCTTTCTCAGAGACATCCAGGGTGGCCGTTAAAATGCACATTCATGAACCCCATTTGAGAATCTCTTTACATACAAGCTAGGGTGCTTTTCTGTGACCACAGAGATTTGAGAATCATCTTAGCTCAGGCTATTCTGCCTTCTGAAAAGAAAGAGGAATTTTCAGCCTCTAGTCACATCTAATACTCGTAATAATATTGCACGACATCCATTATCATCTTCTTTTACAAGGGGAAGCCATGGCCCTGGGGTTTCAATAGTTTGTTCACTGTCATGCCCAGCCCGTCATGGAGGCAGCAAGGTCTAAAACCAAATTGAATCAATCTCAGAGGCACTGCATTTGCAACTCTCAAGTGCTGCCTTTTAAAGGGGCTCCCCCCAAAGTTATCGGGAGATGAGCATATCCAGTATGACAGTTTACCTCTTGCCCTCTCTCCTTTCCTTTCATCCTTTCTCTTTTCTTTCTGTCTTCCTTAGTCACTTTCACTGAGTCTTCTGTGGGATACTGCTAAATATAGTGTGTAGTTTCCCACCCTTGGCGCCATTGACATTGGAGCTGGGTAATTCTTTTTTTCGTGGGACTGTCTAGAACATTCTAGGATGTTTAGCTGCATCTCTGGTCTCCTGCTAGATCCCACTAGAAACGCCCCCCAGTCATGACAACCAAAAGTGTCAAATTCCCCTTGGGCGGAAGGTCACGCCCCAGTTGAAGGTCACTGTTCTAGTGTACAGTTCTGGGCATGGGAGTTATGTCATTCTGTATTCTCATCTTATGCCTGACACCTGCCCATTAGGAGTGCTTGTCAGTGACATCTCTTCAGTTTCCTCTACAGAATGGGATGGCTTTTTAGCGAAGTCTGGTTTGTACATGAGGAATAGATGAGAATACACATGGAAATCTTTTAGGCTGAACCCATAACTTTAACACATGGGGACTCTTGTGCTGTGTCCTGGGACTCCATCCACTTGAATAGCTCAATTTCATGCTCAATTTCAGATCTGGAACAATACTCATAACAACGGTATTTACTACTTTTGCATGTTTTGTATGTGCCAAGAGCTCTTTTGTCACCGCCACTCCTCTCCTATGGCTCCTGAGGATTGCACGAGTGAATATATGTGAAGCATTAAGCCTACTGTTGACATCATCAATATAGAATTACGTTAGTTATAATTAGTATAACTATTGTACAGAGGAGAAAGCAAAGACATAAACTGGGTTCATTAACTGTTTAAAGCCCCCAGTTAGGAAGAGGGAGAGCCTGAATTTGAGCTCAGGCAGAGGAAATCCACCAAAAATTTCCCCTTAACTTCCTCTTACCACATCTTTCTTCAACAGACTCAGATCTGTCCCCATCACTCAGCACACTACAATCATTCAGGATATGTGATCGATAATCGTTAAAGAATTGGTTGAAAATGTTGACATAACCAGAAGGATAATAGTGCCCTGGCAGGTGGGGAAAGCACAGTGAGGCAGTTGTGAAATTATGGTTCCACCTGGCTGCAGGGTGGGGGAAAGAATCTGTGTCCCTCCGGTGGTACTAGGGTGGATTATGATGGCTGCTATTGGATTAGCCCCTGAAAGATGCCAGTCATTGTACATTTTATCATCTCCAAAGGTAACATCCTTGCTTTTGGGTAAGTATCATCATCGCGTAATACAAGAGGAAACCGTGGCCATGACAAGGGAAATAACTTGCCCAATGTCACAATTATTATGGGGTGCTACTGGATTTATAACCACAGATTTCACATGGAAACTAAACACTTCCTCATTAGCTTACTCTTATTGCTTCAGCATATTTGTTTTCCCATGCTTGAAATAATTATTTTAGTTTTGCTCTCTCTTCAAACCACCTAAGTTTCCAATCCCTGCTCTTATCTGTGCCCTTGCCTCATATTTCAGGAAAAAATGGTAAAAACTAGTTTTGAACTTTTTAGCCTTCTATCACCCAACCCGCCATCTATCTGTACCTGTTATGGTGAGTAGAGAGTTCTGGTTCATCCCAGTTCATGCAGTGAGTCAAGGGTTCTCATTTATTCCCTCTGCACGTTTATTTTGAATCCCTCTCTCTCACACCTCCCCAAGAATCTCTCCTGCACTATCTCTTTTCTTTTCTGCCCCCGCCCCCCCCCAAAAAACCTCAAGATTTTCTTTTACTAGATCATTCTATAAAATAAA